CAATGCTAACCTCATCAGAAACAGGCATCACTGGCCACCTGGAAGGATGGCCCGATTCATCTGCTGGCCCCACAGTGTGAACTAGGTGTGGTCATGGGAAAAAGCACACGAAACTGCTCCTGACAGAGCTGGGAGCTGGGCCAGGGTGAAACACGGGATGAAGGAGCCGGAGGACGGGACTTCACAGTTCCCTCCAGAGTTCTAGGAGTCACTAAAGAGACCTGAACCAGATCTGTGTGAAACAGAATATAAAGATGTCTACTTGGAAAATTCCACAATGGTGTGGAAATAAGGTTGGGGTTTGGGGAAACTCTTTGTTATTTTTATGTGTGTGTGTGTGTGTGTGTGTGTGTGTGTGCATATTCATCTGTGAGCGGGTGCAGCTGTCACTGTGTGGTGGTCAGAGGACAATCTCAGGGATTAAGACAAGGTCTCTGGTTATTTGCTGCTGTAGACACCAGGCTACCTCCTGCCCCATGAACTTCCCATGACTCTCCTGTGTCTGCCTATCTCACTGGGATTACTGATTCTCACTGACACGTCTGGTCTTGCGTAGGTTCTGAGGATCTGAACTCAGGTCCTCATGTTGTAAGGCAAATGATTTACTCACTGAGCCATCTATCCCCCCAGCTCCTGGAGCAGAGCACGTTTTGGGGTATAGACAGAAAGAAGCTACTGTTACCCCATGGTGTTCAAAGTCACCTTACCCTTCTAGTCCCCACTCAGAGCCTGCTGGTTGAAGGACGCTGAGAGTCCATCATAAGGAAGCCAGGCAAGCTTAGGAGGTAGGTGGGGACACGTGGGAACAGCATGGACAAAGGGCTTAAGGAACAAATGAAAGGGGACAATAGGGGACTTGGTAGGCAAGGACTCTCTAGACACAGGGACCCGGCTTCTCCCCTCTCTGAGAATGGCAGGGACCCCCCAGGCCCGGAGCACCATTCTAAGGATTTTCCTCCTGTGACGATGCCAGCTGGAGAAGAACAAAAAGGAAGCCTCCATGGATCACAGAACCTGCTTTGGTTCTTGAGAGCCCAGCCTGCCTTGAGTCTAGCAAGCTAGCCTGACCCCAAATATGACAAAGACCCACAGCAGCAGGGAGCAAGTGTGGGCGAGCATGCATGGGAGTGAGCCGGGAGAACAGAGCACGATGTGAATAAGTGAGCCTGTGAGTGTGCACTGGGGCCTGTGGTCTGTCTGTGTTCATGTCCTGAACTAAGGAAGGGCTGACTCTTCCAGAACCTGGTGGCAAAGCGCCCTCTTGTGGCCAGAGCAAGAGGCAGTGCAAGAAAGACCCTAGAGAAGACTGATGGGAAGACAAGGACAATTAGGGGCAGGGTGGGAGGTGGAATTTAGAGAAGGCCAATGCATCTGGGATGCTGACCACCCCCACCCGGTGCCATGATGTCTTCCCTGAGCTTCACACTCCCCAATACCTGAGGTGCCCTGTCAGACAAAGGCAAGGCAGGTGGGCACCAACTAGCTGCATGGATATAGTAGGAAGCTTGGGCCTTTCGGTTGGCATGCAGAACCTGGATCTAGTATGGGATAAAATGAGGTCACCTCTCCACCCTGCACCTGACAGAGGACAGTTTTGTGACAAACCCTCATTCTTCCCTGTCACAGGCCAGGGTTAGATTTCATAGCCACCACTCCATGCCTTCTGGAGTAACTCAGTCTGAGGTATGAAGAGTTTGGATTGTGTTTGCTTGGTGAAGAGGGGGACTCAGGACAAATTAAACTGTGGGGATAGACTGGATACCACTGTGCCCACTTACTGGGCCAGCCAGCCTAGGTTGGGGCAGGCAGAGTCCCATTTCCAGTGATTTCCACTTAGGCAAGGGCTGCCCTGGTTGGGCACGGGGCAGCAGGTGTTAGCTCTGGTGGGATGGCTTTCTTTTTTGAGAAGCCCCAAATTCACAAACCTTGGACAAGTTGAGTGCACATTTATTCTCACAACAGTGTCGTGGCCCAGGAAACCCCTAAGGGCACATTCAAAGTCACTTATGACACTTAGCCCTTCCCCTTTCTACTCAGTATGGTCACCACCTGTACTCTGTGTCCCTGACCACCAGCCACTGCTTTAGCAATGACAATCTAAAGGCAATGGATGGTCACAGAGCAGGTGGAGTGGGTGGCATGACAGCCCAGCACCAATGTCCTTGCTCTATGTGGGCCTCAGTTTCTGCATGTGCAAATGGGGGGTGGCACAATGACATGGGGGGCTCTGTGATGCCTCTGAGACTCTGCAGGTAATAGGTCCAGCTTCCAGCACTGTCCTAGGAACGAGAGCACAGAGAACAGGTCTGATACAGAGGCTAGGCCAGTGTCAGCCTAATGTGGATGCCTTGGGCCTTCTGCTCAGGCTTCTGGCACTCAGTCCTCTGGCCTTCCTGCTGAGACCAGCACCAGCCTCTGGGGTGGATCCTAGGTACAGGACCTCACCCCACTTCCGGCAGCTGGGTCTATTCTGAGATGGCTCTGATACATCTTCCTGGGTGCAGTTTCCTCAAGGATTCTGTGAGGGCCCTGTCAGCACCCTATAGCTACACAGAGTTCCTGCTTGCCTCTTGGAAAAGCACAGGCTGGAAACCAGACCCAGTATGCACCATCCACAGGCACAACGATGATGACACTTCCCTGGTGTGGGAATGAGGTCCAATGACCTACTTCAGGACCTGCTCTGGGTCAGAAGCTTCCAAAGCCAGGCCTTTCTGTAAACCTAGCTCATTGATGGAGCTGGTCTTAGGACCTGATATGTATGGAGGGAAAAAGGAAGGAAGAGAAAGACACCTGAGCCTGTCTGAATTCAGAGGCTGCCCATTGGCACACACTGAGAGTACACATTGCAGGAGCCAGTGTGCAGGATGCCAGAGATGCTGTTAGAGTCACAGCAGCCACCACTCTTCCTTAGGGATAAGGAACACAGGACCCCTTTGGCCCCCAGGTCACCTGAGGGTGCACCTGTGAATTAAGTGTTATCTGCAGTGAGAAGGGCGCAGTGCAGGAACAAACACACACCTCCCAGTCACAAAAGCTTAGGGTTAGCATTAGACTAAGATTTGCTAGTAGTCCCTGACGGTAAGTGCAACATACAAACATTAGGGTTAGAGATAGGATTAGCAGTCAGAGTTAGGTTTAAAGTTAGATTTCCTTGTTGTAGAATACTAGTTAAAGATGTGTTGCATTTTTTTTTTTATGCTGTGGAACAGTTTAATGATGCAAAGATGTGTTGCATTCTTTTGTGCTGCATTTGTTTAACGCTATGAAGCTGTGCAACTTTGCCTGTCTAAAACACCTGCTTGGTCTAATAAAGAGCTGAATGGCCAATAGCAAGGCAGGAGAAAGGACAGGTGGGGCTGGCAGGCAGAGAGAATTAATAAGAGGAGAAATCTGGGAAGAGAAGATCAAGGAGTGAGAAAAGGGGCCAGCCACTGAGCCACACTGGAAGGCATGGAATAAAAAGGAATGAAAAGATACACAGAAATATAAAAAGGTAAGAGCCCAGAGGCAAAAAAGTAAATGGGATAATCAAAGTTAAGAAAAGCTGGCAAGAAACAAGCCAAGCTAAGGCCAGGCATTTACAAGTAATATTTCCATGTAGATTTATTTGGGAGCTGGGTGGTGGGTCCCCCTAAGAGTCAAAGAGCCAAAGAGTAAAGAGTAACCAACAACATTTCTTAGTAGGCCACTGTGGTAGTTTGAATGGCAGGCTGGTCACTCGGGAAGAATGCTTTTCTATTTTCTGCGCAGGGCTTCCTAAGACCAGACATAACCAATGGAGTCATGAGACCCTCCTCAGAGAGGCTAGGGAGGAAAGAAAGTCTGTATTTCAGGTATGCTGGGGCTTTACAGGCATTTCTGCCCTGGGAGAGTCTGGAAGTGGCTCCCTGAGCCTGGAGCCACTCTGCTCACAGATGGCCTCTGCTCACTCAAGATGGATCTCAGAGTGAAGGTCAGGCCATGGATGGATTCTAGCCCTGCCTAAGACAATCACTCTTTCAGGTGCGTGTGACTGGTCTGCCATCCTTCAAATCCAGATAAGCACGTTTTCACCAAGTCTCTAACCCCGACTAAACAGGGCTTTGTTTGAATGGCCTGGCCACAATCGACTGCACTGAAAACAAGCAAGGCAGGGCTGGTGATGTGGCTTGGTTGGTAGAATACACAGAGCCCTGGGTTCAATCCCCAGCACAACATAAATTAGAAATGGTGACACTCCTATGATCCCGACACCTGGGGGAGGGGGGACTCAGAAGTTCCCGATCAATTTTGACCCTATAGCAAGTTTGAGACAGCCTGGGCTGTATGCAAGCCTGTTTCAAAATATAAAATAGGGGTTGGAGAGAGGAAAGAAAAAATATATATATAATTATATTTTAATTATAATAAAAAATTACTAAGCAATAAATAAGCAAGACACGACTGATGCATAAGACACTCTCAATGGCTGAGCAAGCCACACACACACACACACATACACACACACACACACACACAGCCCTGTCACCACAGGGCAGATCCAACTGCTCAATTCCTACCAACTGTTCATGAACAGCTGTCTGTGGTCTCTAGGTTTTGTGCCTCTCATAGGTTGGGGAAAGTAGAAGAAAAGGAAAAGGAAAGCAGCCAGACAGCCTGAGGGCAGTTGTAACCTCAAGGACTTCAAAGGTTCTGAACACACTACCCAAAGGAGCACAGACGACACCAACCACTTCCCTGGCCGCAACACCAAGACAGCAAAGCCTTTCATCTTTATCCTCACTGCACGCAGGTTCACATCTGCTTCCAAGTCCAGGCTCTGCGTCAACCCAATGAAGGACACTGATTCTCCTAGGAAGGTCAGCTACATGGGTCCTTAGAGGCCAGCTATAGACAAAGCCATGAAGGTCCACATACTGTTTGCTTGTTTGTAAGAAAAGCCCCAAGACAAGAGGGTGTCTGTCCTCCTGGGGAGGTCCAGAGAAAAGCAGGGAAACGAAGCAGCTGTGGGCACTGACCTGAACTTTCCAGTCCGCACCTGCAGTGCTCTTATTCCACACTGCTGGGCACCGCCAACGTCACCCACGATGTCGTCGCCGATCATGATGGCCTGTCAGTAGTGAAATATGCTCAGAAGTTATGTCAAGAGAGTTTTATTCCTGGGTTCCTCATATCTTTCTTCTTTCTTCTTATCTTGACATAATAAACTGCTTGATTTGATGTTTAAAGCCACCGTCATCCAAATTAAACAAGATAATATTGTCATTGTATTGATTTAAAGTCAAGCCACCTTGAATATATCTCCCACTGCCCCCCTGGGCCATGACCAGTTTATTTATTCAATGTGAAATCAATCAGCAGCCGTCAAAGTGATCTGGTGCCTCGAGGGGCACCCGCCTCCACAGAGAGCAGACTGCATCTTACCTGATGCTAAATACTCTTCTGTGAATAGTACAGGTGACTGTACTGGGAAAACTACACCAATGTCTGGCAAGTCTTTGTAGTTCCCACTTCAAAAGGTTTTACTGTCAACTGTCAAGTGGCTACATGTAAAAACCCAAATCTAACCACCCACACACACACACACACACACACACACACACACACAAAATATTTGCCTACTGGATAGGGTATCAGAAGCAATCTGTGGGATAGATCCCTCCCACCTGAAACAACCCTCCACACAGGCAAGCTCTCAGAACCAACAGTTCTGGACATCAACAGGCACTGGGCATCAAACAAGACTGGAGTGTGTCTTTCAAGGCACAAAAAGCAGGTGTGGTGGCTCTGTGACTAGCCCCATCTCCTGCCTTCAGTGTTCTCACAGTTATGTGTGGAGAGGAAGGATATCATCGGCTGAGTTGTACCCTCCGAAGTCAGCAAGGCTAACTTCAGTGTGAGTACTTAGAGACGGCATCTACAGGAGTAATTTAGAGACAGTCCATGAGATCAAGGGTGGAGTCCTGACCCAGTGTGACTGGGGTCCTTTTTGGAGGAGGAACAGACCCCAAAGCTGTCTCCATACAAGCACAGCAAAGGCCACATGAGGACATAGCAAAAAGGTAGCCACTGTGGTCTGGATATGGTTTGAGGGTGTCCTCCAAAGGCTTGTGTGCTGGTGGTTTGGTCTCCAGTGTGATGGTACTAACGGAGGCACCCATAATAGATTCAACTGGAAGTCATTACATTAAGCAAAACAAGCCAGACTTAAAAAGGCAAACAGCATGTTTCCTCTCATAAGCAGAAGCTGAAGTTGAAATTGTGTGTGTGTGTGTGTGTGTGTGTGCATGCACATACATTATAGGTCCTGAAACTAGAAAGGTGACCATGTGAAGACAGGAACAGATCACAGTGTGATGGGAAGTAGAACTAGAAAAGGAACACTCAGAAAAGGAAGCAGAACAAGTCTGCCTGGTAAAGACAGGAAGCCAGCTGGGGGCACACGGGTGTCCGGGACCAGACCAAGGCACACTTGGAAATCCTCCCTGGATTTCTCTGATCTCTCTTCTACCTCCTTCCTGTGTTTCAGATATGTTACAAATACTGTGACAAACTGATTTCTGTCATTGTCCACAGATAATCGTATGGTGCTTACTCTTAGAATATTATCGAAAGTCAAGACATTCTGGTCTTCCACATGTAGTAATGCACCAAACTTCCTTTTAAAACTCACTTAATTTTTAAAAAGTCAGTTTAAAGAAATCCTGAGCAAATAATAGTGCCAGTGGCAAGAGCCTAGCTTGGAACCTTTTCCTAGGAAATAGTATTGGGGGGGGGCACTGCTTTCATATATCGGTGTAGAATCATCCAGTCACCTGGGAAGAGTCAGCCAGTGGCATCTATTCATTGTGGTGGGATAGCATGGGGTACAGTGACACATGAACCCTAGATTCCAAAGCTTCAGGACCACCTAACAACTAGAACAAAGTGGCCTTAGATACAGATGGACAGATACCTCACATTAGGCTTTCTAGTTCCCTTCCAATGAGCCATCCTAAAACTGTGGATTCAACTTTTGAACACTCAAGGGTTCCAAATCAGGCATCAACTGCTGCCAAAGGCATTGGGACCTTTGTGTGACTGAGCTTCCTAGAAATGGAACCCAAGTCCCAACTACTGCATGTCATGCCTGGCACCTTCCATGCCTCTGGGAACAGTAAAGTGGTGTACTCGTGGGCTAGGGCTATAGCTCCATCAGCAGAGTTCTTAAATAGTATACACAAAGCTATGTGTTTGAACCACAGCACTAAGTGGGGTGGCGTGTGCTCGTAATCCCAGGATTTAGGAGATAGAAGCAGAAAGATCAGAAGTTCAAAGTCATCCTCAGCTACACAGAGAGTTCAAGGCCAGCCTGGATACATGAAATACTGTCTCAAAACAAACCCTTATGTACGTGTGTACACATACAACTAGATGGTGGGAATTGCCTTCTCGGGACCCTCTTGGGCTGGACATTGTTGATGTGGTCTATGGAGATGGTTTCTGAGAAAAGCTAATCCCTCTGAGCACTCTATTATCCATGGAAGAGCATTTGTGGGGTGGATGCTTGGGATGGTGACAGGATCCCCAGGAAACAGAGATGTGGGTAGCAGGGAGCTGGGGCTAGACACGGGCAGCCAGTGGAATGTGCAGTGAAGCCTGTCTGGGCCAGCTTGTAGGCTCCGCATACCAAAATGCTCTCAGATCCCTGGGGAATGTCCAGATTTACCATCAGTGAAGGGCAATAATCGCACCGAGAGGAGCAATTATTGCCAAATCATTTAGGATTTAAAAAATCATTGGCAAGAAGATGGAGGTCAAGAGGTGCGCCGTCGGGGGAAATAAAAACCTCTACCTGTCAGGCCTGGCTTTTACTCTTTCCTGACTGTGATGTGATACAGGGGAGACAGGCCTTCAAAACTGAATGACTGTACTCCAAGAGAACCCAGAAACGCAGAGAGCTGCAGGGGGCTGTCAGTCTCCAAGGCAGCTTTGGTGGTTTGGATCTGTAAAGCAGACTGGAGCTGAGCGTGTGGGGCAGTCGGCAGAACATTCCGATTCTCCCGGTGACAGCACACAGAAAGGGTGGAGTGAATGCCTGAGATCGTGGATGGGAGACAGAGCAGGGGTATCAGTAGTTAAAAGTCATCACTGGCTACATAGTGTGTTAGGTAGAAGCCAGTCTGGGCTATAAGAGGAGATCCTGTACTTCTCCAGTAGTCTGCCTCCAGGCCTCTCCTCACCACCCTGGGTGCTCAGAACCATGGAGCCTAACTGGTGACTTGCTTTGGAGGACAGGCTTCTAGGGCCCAAGGGCTTCCCAGGAAAGTCTGTGTTTCGTGAGCTGTCAGCTCTCCCTGGACTCTGCTGGACAGAGTATGTCCCCATCACAGGGGAGGACACAGTGGGGCAGGCAGGGCACATACCCACATGGAGAGTCCTCAAGGGATATTTACACCTTCAGTTTCCAGTCATCTCAGAAACTCAGAGGTGCCATGGCTTGGTATATTTATAAGGACAAATAATAATAATAATATGGCAAAAGCCAAGGATCGCTGATTTTTTTTTAATGTGTATTTGAGGTATGCTGTTGTCCTGAGTTCTGGACCTTAGAAAGGGCCTGACTACCTCTAACCTCAGGGGGTTGGATTACCAATCATTTAGAGTAAGGCTAACCCTCTGCTATCTCTACGCTGTTTGGGAAAGGACTGGTGGAAATTGAATTGGGAGCTGCTGCCACTGGTGCTCAGGCTCAAAACACCTCTGCAGAGCCAGAGCCATCACCAGGGGAATGGCAGTGATGGCTTTATTGATCAGGGCAGCTCAAAACAGTCAAGGTATGCCATGGGCTGGTACCTGAGCAGCCTGCGCGCGCACACACACACACACACACACACACACACACACACACACACACACACACACAGAGCCAGCTATTACTACTTGTGTGTGCAGACAGTTATGTAAAACTCTGTGTCCACACATCCTGAGGTTGAAATAACACTAGCAAGACTTTCAGCAAAATGGCAGGCTAGAGCCAGGAGAGAACGACAATGGGGAAGACGTACAGGTACCACGTGACAGGCACAAAACACAGATGTGTACCACAGCACATATAGGGAGGTCAGAAGACAGGTTCCAGGGGTCAGTTTTCGCCCCACCCTGTGAGGCCGGGTCACCAGGTTTGGCTGTAGGTGATCTTACCCACTAAGCCATCAAGCCAGCCTGAGCTCTATCTAGAGCATTTTTACTTACCACCCACAGGAGACCAGGCACTCATGGACTGATATTCCTGCTGTGCCCACACTTCAACCTCTGGTGACCACCAGTCCACTCTGCCTCTGTGGGCTTGCCTGTCCTAGACAAGCCCACTAAATGGATTCCGTTCATGCTTTTGTACCTAGTTTCCTGTCCTTGGTGGGCCGTGTTCATGGCTCATCCCTCCTCTTTCGGACTCAATGGTGTTTCACTATGAGAGGGACACATGTTGCTGACCCATTCCCAGGGGATAGGCAGACATCTGAGCTCTGCTCAACCTCACAGGTACTGTAAGTACAGCTGCTGGGAACATCAGTAAATGGTTTAGGGGACTGTTTGGTTCTGTGATGCTGGGACTTAAAACTGGGGCTTCATTCTTGTTAGGCAAGAGCTCAACCACTGAGTTGCCCTCATACCCTACAAGTTTGGCAGCACTGGCACTTAGTCATAGTCCGACCAGCTGGACTCCAGTTTCTCCACTATCAACGCTTGCAAGTTCCTGCTACTTCTGTCTTTCAGTGGCCAAATTAGATGATGGGGTTTGACCTCGCTCCTAAGGAGCCAAGAGACTCATCCATCTTTCTGTGTGCTCTTTGGCCATTGCCTGGGGTGCTACTGCTTCGTGGTTTTGCTAAAATGCTCCATTTTATAAGGAATGTTCTAACATGTGCAAACATAAGGCTCCAAGTTCTGATTCGCAGAACTCATGAGATTGTGGGCATAGCAGCACACATCGGTAATCCCAGAGTTCCTACACTGAGATGGGAGACAGAGACAGGAGAATCCCTGGAAACTCACTGGTTAGCCAGCCAGGCATGTGCAGTGGCAGGTAAGAGAGATCCTGTCTCAAACAGAGGACAAGGCAAGGACTAACACCCAAGGTGGTCCTCTGCCCTCCACATGTACACTGTGGCAATGTGTACCTGCGACTTACATACATGTTCATGTGTGTACTATACATACACACAGAAAACAAGAAAGGAAAACATTTTTTAAGAGGGGGGAAAAGTACTGCAAGAGGGGACTATGTGTGATCTGCTTGTTGGGACACATGGCAAGTAACTATCTCATTGCTCAGGGAGAAGAGTTCTGGGCCAGAAAGATGGCTAGTGGGTAATGGCACTTGCTGCTGACCCTGACGATCTGAGTCTGATTCCTGGAACCCACATGGTAGAGGGAGAGAATGAACTCACACAGCCCAAAAGAAATAAGTAAATGTCATTTTTAAAAATGTAAAGAAGAAAGAAGATTCTGCCAGTCCTACCTGGTGAGCCTCCACCCCTATGGCCTGTAGTGCAGACTTGAAGAACTCAGGGGAAGGTTTCCCCACCACTTCAGCCTCAATACCACAGGCATACTGGCAAAGAAAAGACATAGCATGGGTCTGAGATCAGGATCAGGAATGTGACCAAACATGGAAAGACTGTCTCATGACGGTTAAGGCCCTTCACAAAGCAGGATGCTAAGGGCCTCAAAAATATCTCACAGACAACAATGTCACAACTCACAATAGGTTGCTGCCCAGAATGCTTACAACACCTACCTCCAGCTCTGCCACCCATTCCAAGGCTGCCCATAGCAAAGTGGCATACCATACCTAGCAAAGCCACAAGCATCCCAAGGGATAGGAGACCAGGACTAAAATTCCATTCTCTTAGCCCTCCCTGCTGCCCACCTCCAGGAAGATCATAGGCCCCACTGAGTGGTCCAGGATTCAATCCACCCACCTGTGTTGTGGAGTATTGGTTTAAGATGTGTTGCATTTGTTTGTACTGTTGTGGAACATTTGTTTTAATGACTCAAAGATGTGTTGCATTCTTTTATGTTACACTTGTGTAGCTCTGCAAAGCTGTGTTACTTTGCCTGTCTAAAACACCTGATTGGCCAACTAAAGAACTGAATGGCAAATAGCTAGGAAGGAGAGAACTAGGCAGGGCTGCCAGGCAGAGAGAATAAATAGGAGAGAAATCTAGGGAGGGAGAGAGGAAGAAGGAGCAAGAAAAGGAGGAGAGGAGGAGGCCAGCCACCCAGCCAGCCACCCAGTCAGCCATGGAGTAAGAAGTAAAGAAAAGTTTATGGAATAGAGAAAGTTAAAAGCCCAGAGGCAAAAGGTAGATGGGATAATTTAAGTTGAGAAAGCTGGCTAGAAACAAGCCAAGCTAAGGCCTGGCATTTATAAGTAAGAATAAGTCTCTATGTATTTATTTATATGGGAGCTTGGTGGTGGGCCCCCTAAGAGTTAAAAAAAAACCTCCAACTATACACCTGCCCACCCTTCCCACCTGGGCACAGGGGGCAGGGGATGCTACCACTGTGAGTATGGGATGTGGTACAGTAGGAGTGTAGGCAGGGTAAGTGATTGGCCAGTCACAGTAGACTCCAGAGATCTGGCCACAGATGGTTCTGTAACCTGGAGGGTCATCTCAGGAACAAGGCAGGGAGGACACATCAAGCCTGAGGTGTTACTGGGCCAGGAAGGAGGCAGCCATGAGTTAGAAGAGAGTGGCAAAGAGCATGCTGGGAGAGAGCACCAGGAGGTTGGCCAGGGTTGGGGTAAGAGAATGACACACATGTAATCGATGTGATGACCCAGGCAATGGGAGAACCAACCCCACAGGGGAAGGGAGATGTGGCCGGAAACCACACACAGGAGCCCCCACTCAGAAACATGAAAGGCTACTTGCACCCCCTCTTCTCCAGAAAGTCCAAAGAGGGCATGGGATAGAACCAGGGCAGGTACCTCAAGCGCCTTCATGTAGCCTCCAACATCCAGCATCAGGCCAGAGGTCTCCTTGTAGTAGCGTCTGCAAGAGAGCAGAAGTGAAGAGGTGAACAGAGAGCCCGGGGAGCAGGTCAGTACTGACGCCATGCTGAGAGTGACTGATGGAGGCCACATGGCAGAACCAGAAGGCCATCAGCACTAGGACACCAGGGATCATTCAGCCGGTAACCCCCTGCTGCTGGCCTTGTAGGGACCCTACCACAATGATTAACCAGGGACCTAAGGGGGACAGATGGATCCAGTTACTATAACACAGAGCAAGACAAGTGACCCGTGTTCTGGGAAGGGACGGCAGGCCCCCGGACCATGTGCTGACTCCCTAATTGCTAATAATTAACCCTTAACTGCTGCCTGAGGAGAAAACTCCATTAGTTCCACAGCAGCTTGCCACATCTCCTGTTAGCTGGGGTCAGGCAAGGTGCCAGGTTTCACGGGCACCAGCTGCTTCCATGGGATGACAAGAATGTCTTCCCAACCGAAGAGACAATGTAGACTCTCTGGGAGCGGCCCTCCTTAAGACTGTCTCATTGCTCTTCCAAGTGCCCACAGCCTATCTCACATCAGACCAAGGCCTCGAGGCACAAGGTGTCCTGACTGCAAAGTCATTCATACCTGGGGCTCTCTGAGCAAAGCCATGTGACCATAAGGAAGCAAGAACGGGGCTTACACATCATGCTCTAGAGATGAGGTTCACTGAAGCCATCCCAGTCAGTTTTCCCTTCCCTTCCGTGTCCAGCAGGGGACATTAACAAAGCATGTGTGCAGAGGACAAGAGGAGAGAGAGCCACAGGCTGGCCTCAACATTCAGGTCCCCTCTCTGCTTCCTAGCTTTGTAAGCCTTTCGACCTCAGCTTCCCCACCTGTAAAATGGTCAAAAGAAATGAGCCATCCATATCTAGGGCTGTTGTGAAGCTTATACAATTAACACATTTAAAGGTCCTTACATGCCCAGGACACAAACACCACTCAACAGAAGGCTGGAGACTTCTACTGTAAATAGCCATTCACTGGAGCTGAGACACAGGTCCTGAGACAGGAGCTCAGTGGGAAAATGAATACAGGCCCCAGCCCGGTGCTGCCACTCTGGTAATTTGGCAATCAGGAGGCCAAGGCAGAGGGATTGTGAATTCTAGGCCAGTCTGGGATACATAGCAGATCCTATCTCAATACATTTTTACTTTTCTTCATGTGTAGGTGCTGGAACACCGTCTGAGAATGGAGTTAGTTATGTGAGAATTCCGAGTGCTTGTGAGACAACTCCAAGAAAACCAGATAGGAGTCTTGTGACCTCAGTTTCATCATAACACTGAATCGTTCTTGGAATGCATTTTCATGCTCTTCCCAGGCATAGCGGGCAGGAGAGAGTTTACTTCGGATTACTCATTATTGCTGTTATTCAATTAAAGGTTTAAGCTACCCTTTCTATGCTTCTATGGAAAAACGTGTTTTTGCCATGTGCAGCTTGTCCTTGCGATTGTATACAGCTTGAACTCACAGAAACTTTACTCATGTGGCCTTTCTTAACCCTCAGAGTACATATTATCTGATGCTCTGAATAAAGTTGGCTATTGCATGAGACTTCAGTCCAACTGATTTACTGGCTCTATTCACCTAGATTCCATGGCCTCTAGAGTAGGGACATGGATGTATGTGTGTGTGTGTTGTGTGTCCATGTACACACAGAGGCCTGAGGCTAGGATCAGGAACTCTCTACATCACTCCTTCACCTTAGTTTTTTGGGCAAATGGTCTCTCAATCCAATTTAGCTGATACAGCTAGTCTTGCAAACCAACTTGCTCTTGGAACCCTCTACAAGGCTGGAAGTACAGGCAGCCTGCCACACCCACCCGGCAATGATGTGGGTTCTGGGGATCCAAACTCCAGCCTTCTTGCTTACATGCCAACAGCTTTAACCACTAAGCCATCTCCCAAGCCCTCAAGAGATTTTCTTTACAAGTTTCCTAAGGCTGTAAAAGTTTCCTAGATGGCTCAGTGAGTAGAACACTTGCTATGCACGCTTGAGGACCTTCAGATCCACAGAATCCACAGAATCCAGCTATCATACATTGTGTCTTTAACCCCGCACTCCTGTACCAGATGGGAGGTGGAGACAGGAAAAGTCCCAGAAGCCAGCCTGGCAAACAACAAAGGAGCCCTGTCTCAAACAAGGTGGAAGGTGAAGAGCGTCAGCTGAGGTTGTCCTGTGACCGACTTTCACATGCACACCCTAGCATGAGCATGCCTCCACTCAGGCAGATGGACTGACAGACAGACAGACAGACAGACAGACAGACAGACAGATAGACACACACACACCTATCTACCTACCTGTGACCTCCACATGCACACCCTGGCATGAGCACATCTACACTCACAGACACAGACAAAGAGAAAGACAGATACGATACACTTACTTAAAAGTGTTTGCTTCAATTTTTTGTTGTTTTTTTGTTTGTTTGTTTTGTTTTTTGTTTTTAGAGATAGGGTTTCTCTGTATTGTTTTGGAGCCTGTCCTGGAACTCGATCTGTAGAAGAGGTTGGCCATGAACTCACAGAGATCCACCTGCCTCTGCCTCTTGAGTGCTGGGATAAAAGGTGTGGGCCACCAACACCCTGTCAAGTTTTCTGTTTTTCTTTGTTTTTCTTGATTTCTATTTTTACAATAAACTATAGGCAGGGTCTTGGAGAATGATAAACAGGACTTGGCCAGCAGAGGGAGACACAGGTGGTGTGCTGTGCTGTCTGGGTGGCAGGCTGCTTATTCCACTCAGTCCAGGACTCTTTCTTTACAGGACTCAGGGGCATGCCCAGATCCGGCATCACCCCTGGACTCCCAGGATAGAGGAGGCATAAACAGACCCACAGAGAAACTGTAAGCACAAACATGGTGAGCTGCATGAATTGTTTACAGAAGCATCCCTCAAAAGAGACAATTAAGTTGTGTCCTGAGGGGGAGCAGGTCACTCTATGAGTAAGAGGAGGGAGTGTGAAGACCAGAGAGCACTTCAGGATCACCAGAGCCTGATGGGACATCATCCTTGGGCTCTCAGAGGCTACAACCCTTGTCCAATGGGCAGCCAGAGAAACACCCCAGGAGGGGATCATCAGGGACCTCCCAAAGGAAAGGGTGAGTAGAAATGGGTTGGGGGAAGGGGGCAGACCTAACTGAGCACAGAAGATGCTCGACAGAAGCAAACAGAAACTTCCAAAGCAAAACTGTAACAGGTGCAGCTGTTTGCAGCTGAGGATTCTGGGGGTTTCCAGGCTGCCCTGGGGCCAGCTGGAGGACACAGGAGATTGGATGGATGGGAACACACTCCTCTCATTTGGAAATCTCACCCCTAAAGAGTCCTCAGAGCACAGCTCTTCTGGCCTCGGGTCTAGATGTTTATTCTAAGGTAATGTCAGGATGTTCCTACCCACAGGGTGACTTGAAATACACAGCCAAAGCATGACCTTCTAAGCCAGAGAAAATGGGTTTTCAGAAATACCAAATGAAAACTTATTTTGGGGGAGCGGGGTTGAGACAGAATTTTTCTGTGTAGTCCTGGCTGTGCTGAAATTCACTCTGTGGAACAGGCTGGCCTCAAACTCAGAGATCTGCCTGCCTCTGCTAGTGCTGGGATTAAAGGCGTGGGCCGCCACTTCCTGGCTAAAAAAGAAAACTTTAACCCCGCCCCCATCCCTCTCTCAACAAGAGGCTTATTTCTGAGATAGGGTCCCAATACATAGTAAGGCACTCTCTATGTAGACCAGGTTGAACTCTAGCTCACAGAGATCCTTCTGCTTCCACCCACCAAGTGCTGGGATTACAGGTGTGCCCCAATACCTCAGTTTATATGGTGCCAGGAATGGAACCGAGTGCTTCCTGAATGCTAGGAAAACCCACTACCCAGTAAGCTACATCCCCAGTCACCCCCTCCCAATTTTCTTTCTTACTTCTTTGTTTTTGTTTTTTGAGACAGGGTTTCTCTGTGAAACAGCCCTAGATATCCTGGAACTCACTTTGTAGGCTAGGCTGGCCTCAAACTCACAAAGATCCATCTGCCTTTGCCTCCCGAGTGCTGGGATTAAAGGCCTAGGCCACCACTGCCTGGTTTACTTTCTTTTTTAAACTGAATCTGGCCTGTATTTTAGAGAGCCCACAATTTTTCTGTATTTATTATTCATTCAGGAAAACAAAACTCCACCTTGAGGCCAGCTGCTGGCTGTAAACACTGTTGTCTTTAAGAGGAACAGCAAACAGACATCTAATTTACACCTCTTCACTAGTAACCGGATATAGTTTTCCTTCCTTTATGGCACAGTGTGGCCAGCTGTGGGCCTGGGAGGGCTCTGGGCCCTCCAGCCACTGGGAGCCACAGTGATCACTGGGAGAATCGGGGCGCAGGGAGCAAGCAGTCAGATCTGATTTTATGCTTCGTTCTCCTGCCATTTCCGATTCCTCGGTGCAGCCTCCCTGCAAAATGACCACTTGACCTCTCCCAGAAGAGCCATTAACCTCCATAGTCTGAAGAGTAAACAGCTTAATTTTCTGATGGCGGCATGACAGGAGAAATTACAAAGGCAATTCCCTCTCTCAGTCCACACAGATGCCAAATGTAAATCACTCCATTTCGAGGAAGGGAACATCCTGCTTCCCTGCACCCTCAAGGAGGCCACGCTAGCCTTAGACTGTAGTGACAGGAGCTCTTCCTGGACCCTTGGGCTGCCTGAAGAAGCTGCTACTCTCTGGGAGCTGCTGAACCCTTTCTCTGGATTTGAAACATACCACCCCTCACCCAAGTCAAAATCTAGGGAGCTGGAGGCCCTGTGCATATCAATTCAACCCTCGACTACTGCTGAGTCTGCTGAAGTTATCACCCAGTCAAGAGCATGCGATTCCTGTTTTCATCTTTTTCACTAATGTACCTACGTATTCAAGCCATTACTGGCAATCTGGAATAACCTTTAGCAATGATAAAACTGCATCAAAGAAAAATGTGTTGACATAAATGACCTAGAATATTTTTCATTATGTACATTTTCTAGTGCAGGTTTGCCAATTCAAATACCCAAGGGCAGGACCCAGGTCAGTGAGTTAAGCAGGTCAAGCGTGCCTAGATCAATGGGCATGAGGATCCAGTCAGCAAACCACTGGATGGAAATACTTCCAGCAGGAAGCCCTGCTGCCTACCAAATTGGGCAGCAACCCCAAAGCATCGTGCAACTTCAAGGAGGAGATTCTGAACTTGTAGTGCTGTTTCTGTTGGCCAGGCTAGACATGAACACCCTTCTGGAAATGAGCTGGACAGCATGCATCATGAAGCTCAAAATGAGCCACATCTGGTGGCTCATACATGAAATCACAGCACTTGGGAGGCTGAAGCAGGAGGATTGCTGAAAGTACAGGTCACCCTGGGCTACAGAGTAAGAGCCTGTATCAAAATAAATAAAAGGAAAGAAAAGGGGGAAAAAAACTTAAAACTTTTCCTTTAGTAGTTTCTAAGGACAACATCTGATATGACATAGTTTATGGATCATAGTTTATTGTCACAGACAATAAGAAATGACCTCACTGTTCAACAGCAGGGATCACTAAATACAACCCCAGGATACTTGTAAGGCAGATAACTGTGTCACAGAGACATTTGGTCACTGTGTACCAAGTCATCCATAAGGTGTTGTTTGGTGACTGTAAGAAACAGGCAACAAGAAGCTGAGGAGATGGCCCTGTGGTTGAAACCTTTGCTGTCCAAGTGTGAGACCTGGAGTTCAAATCCCCAGCTCACATAAATGCCAGGTGGACATAGTGGCCCACCTGTAATTCCAGCCTTGGAAGGCAGAGACCCCAACAAAAAGCTGGACCATACCTTTGATCTGTGTTTAACTGAGAGATGCTGCCTCAGTGGATACGGTGGAAGAAGATGGATGGAGGATGCTATTCCAACACACACACACACACACAATTAAAAAAACAAAAGAAAGTAAATTAGGGAGAAAGGGGGGTGGTGAGGGGGATGTTAAGTAAACAGCACTTTCTTTAAAGAAAAATTTCATGCTGGAGTTTGCATCTTGACTGTCCCCTAGAGGCCCATGAGCTAAACACTTGGTCCACAGCTGCTGGTAGTGTTGAGAGGTAGTAGATCCCTAAGGAGGTTGGGTCTAGGACTGGAGAGATGGCTCAGAAGTTAAGAGCACTGGCTGTTCTTCCAGAGGACCTGGGTTCATTCAATCCCTGGTATCCACGTGGTTACTAACAGTCTGTAAATCCAGTTCCACTCAATCTGCCTTTCTATTCTGGCCTCCACTGGCACTACACACATATGGTGCACAGACACGCATATAGGCAAAACACCCATACACATAAAACAAAAACAATAAATAATTTTTTAAAAGGAGGTAGAGTCTAGTAAAAGGAAGTTAAATCTAAAGGGAGAGCTTGGAAGGGACACTGAGACTCTTGCTCTTTCTGTCTTTGCTTCCCCGTCTCCAGGGAGATAAGTTAGACACGTCTCCCAAATGTCTACCTTCCCCACAGGCCCACAGCAAGCCTCTGAAACCATGAGTCTGATTCCTGGAACTTGGTTACCTCAGTTATCTGTTGGAGCAGTGGAAGCAGATTACCATGGTGTTGAAATGTGATAAAAACCCAGCCAAAGCATGGGAACCAAATCCCAACAGCACCCAGCACCTGGCACCCGGCACCCAGACCAAAGCATCCTCTCAGACCTCAAGTCCATCTATTAATACAATTAATACATTAAGAATCCTTAGGGACCATTCCTAAACATCTTGTGCTAAGGGGCCTTTTCCTCCTTTACTATAAACTCAAGACAGACAACACTTGGCCTTTGAGATCTCCTCGGGGCCTCCGACAGCACTGATGGCCACACCCCTCTCCTGGTCCAAGATTCATACAGTAACTTGGTCAAACAGCTCTGGAAAGATTATTGAAGGGGAAGAAAGGAGGAAATGGAGCAAAAAAAAGCCATGGAGGGAGAAAAGGCCCTGTGCTCACTCCCACACCCTGTCTGCATTTGTCTCTACTTGATCCCGTAGCAGAGAACAGCAACCCAGAGCTGCCCAGCACAATCCCCCTGCCAGCCGCGCCGACTCACCCCTTTCCCAGAGATATGAATACAGGGTTTTCCAGCTCCATGAGCACTTGGAAGGCTCTGTTCACGTTCTCATAGGAAAAGTTTTCACCAGCATCCGCAATCACGACACAGTTTGGGTCGGACATGTCAATGTCATCAAATTCTGAGCGGACCCCTGGAAGGACAAGAGAGACAGACAGTCCTCAAGACCCGAATGTGACCTGCTCCTGGCTCCTAACAGGGATGGACACTTTCCCTCAGTTAGGTCTGCCTGGCAGAATGTAGATTTCAGGACAGCCGGAAACTGGGAAACATCCAGACATAAATGAACTAACTATGGCATGTTCCCTACACGGCAAAGAGCAAGAACGTGGTGGTATATGAGAGGAGCCTGAAGGCTGCTGAGAAACTTTACACAAAGGACTACTTTTGTGAAGGAGGGCCACTTCAGCAGACCTGGCTGGCTCCAATCCTGCACACTCCAGAGAAAGGCCTGACCTTTAAGATTGGCCTGACCCTCTAACAGCTCTGGGGGGAACCCCTGGATTCCTACCAAGGAGGGGTTTCACACCTGAGGGGGCTCACGCTGGGTCGGTGTGATCTTGAGTGACATATGTAGATGGAGGTAGTGTCCCTAAGGTTAGTCACATGGGGACTGTGTGCTTAGATGACAAGCCCGTCTCAAAAAATGCTCCAACCTGCTGTGTCACACATCACTGCTGAGACAACTAAGCACATCCAACATGGAACAACTAGGATTTCACGCCTGTCTTCACCTGCCCTTTATCCCATGCAGCTCCTCCCCTTGTTAAGCTTGAGCTGTGATCTTCTATCGTATTCAGCTTTAATGGTGAAGAGGATGTCTCTCCAAGCCCGTCCAGAGAATAACTGAGACCTAGGTTGGCCTTTGGGGTTCTTGGATCAATTATACATTGTACAATTCTATTGATATGTAATCCTAAACAAGTATATTTATTTAAAATAGAAAATATAAAAATAATGACTGTCACTGCAGGGGAAGGGTTGGTACACACCTTTAATCCCAGCACTCAGGAGGCAGAAGCAGGCAGATCTTTGAGTTCAAGTCTAGCTTGGTCCACATAGCAAGTTCCAGGACAGTCAGGGTTTTACAGAGAAATTTTGTCTAGGAAAACCAAACAACAACAACAATAATAATAAATAAATAAACAAACAAATAAATCCTTTGTCAGTAAGGGGTGGGGATAGGGACTGACTAGAAAGATATACAGGATGCTTCAGGGTAATAATAATGGAGGTCTCTAGAGGTGGGCTAGCTCAGTTAGTACAGCATGAGATTCTTAATCTCAGGGTCATGGGTTCATGTCCCATATTGTGTGCCATTTTGTTGCTGGAGTTTTTCTTACAGCCGTTTGGCCCCAAATGAACCTACAGAGATGCTACATTAATTATAAAACTGTTAGCCAATGGCTAGGGCTTCTTATTGGCTAGCTCTGTCTTAATTATTAACTCATTTCTATAAATCTATGTATTTCCACCTGATCTTGGCTTACCAGAGAATGTCCAGACCTATTTCTCCTTTGGCAGCTACATGGCGTCCTCTTCAGTCTCTCTCTGCCTACCTTTCCCAGAATTCTTCTAGTCTCCTAATCAATCCTGCGTATCTTCCTGCCTCTATTGGCCAAATAGTGTTTTATTCATCAACCAACAAGAGAAATCTATATACAGAAGGATGTCCCCAAATGAGGGGGACTGACTAGAAGGATATGCAGGAAGCTTCAGGGTGATAATAATGGAGGTCTCTAGAAGTGTGGGATTCCAGGGGTGCAAAAGTTAACGTCCACAAAAGTGTAGTTGAGGTTTGGTTTCTTCACCTCATGTAAATCATACATCCACAGAAAAACAAAACAGAACTGACCACATACTGAGCTCTAGTCAATCACAGGCTGAAATGCTAAGGGGAACTACACCAATCAATACCCACTGTGGAGTGATTCAAAAGTAAAACCACCAGATAGATAGATGGAGGCATGGATGGGCATGTAACTAAGAAAACATTTCTCAGCATCCAGGGAGGCCTGTAAAACTATTCTAAGTAAACTGTGTGTGTGTGTGTGTGTGTGTGCGCGCGCGCGCGTGCATGCATGTGGAGGTTAGGACAATGGTAGGTGTCTTCCTCAAGGGCTCTTCGCCTTGTTTGTTGGGACAGAGTCTCTCACTGAGCCTGGGAAGCTTGCTAGTTCAGCTAGACTGGATGGACAGTGAGTCCCAGGAACCCTCATGTTCTCACTTCCTCAGGGCTTGGGTTACAGGGGTTCACTGCTATGCTCAGCTTTTCCATGGCTGTGGGATCAAACTCAAGTCCTACCACTTGTGTAGCAGGTACTTATTGACTGAGTCATCTCCAAAGCCCCACCAAGTAAAAGATTTCAGGTCTGCTATTTGTCTGAAGATTTTCATAATACAGTATTGGGTGGAAAACATCAATAATAAAACCTAGAAAAAGCCAAAGCCTGAAAAACAGATACACTAATGGAAAACACAGACACAACAGCAGAGAAAGACCCCCCCCCCAACAGTTCTGTCATGTCAGCTGGATTCCTCGGTTAGTACCACCTTTGAGCCAATGCTTTACTGAGCCCAGCTTCTCTACCCCCTCTTCCATGCTTAGCAACCCTTTTCCTGGGGAACAGGAGATAGGATTTCTAAAGACATTGGCAGGGTTCCTACCTACAGAGAAAGGAGGTTAGAAAGAGGATTTTTAAAGGCTGGGCATGATTCCCTTAATTGGTGCCAGGGAAATGGATTCCACCCTCCAGCCTTTCCACTTCAAAAGAGTGCCCTACCTCTGCCCAGAGGTTTGTTAAAAGGAAAGCAGTCAGGGGTGGGGGAGGGGGAGGAAGAGAGAAGGGAAAGAAGGGAAAAAAGCTTTCCAAAGTACTTGAACCCTGGTTTTTTGTTTGCTTGTTGTTTTTGTTTTTTTTTGTTTTTTTGTTTTTGTTTTTGTTTTTGTTTTTGTTGTTGTTTTGGTTTTTCAAGACAAGGTTTCTCTGTGTAGCTTTGGCTCTGCAGACCAGGCAGACCAGATCCATCTGCCTCTGTCCCCCCAAGTGCTGGAATTGAAGTTGTACACCACCATCACCTGTCATTTGAGTCCTGTATTTTGTTTGTTTTTTAAGATTTATTTATTATGTATATAACGTTCTGCCTTCAAGTATGCCTTTAGGACAGAAGAGGGCACCAGATCTTGACAGATGGCTGTGAGCCACCATGAGGTTGCTGGGAATTGAACTCAGGACCACTAGAATAGCAGCCAGTGCTCTTAACCACTGAGCCAATCTCTTCTGCCCAGAACCCCAGAGAAAATTGCTCCCTCTGCTTTGCTCCACAAAGCTCCCCAACGAGGGTTAAAGGATCTCTGGTCCTGCAGACCAAAATCATCTGGATTCAAACCTTGCTCTGACAGTCATTTTCGAACTGCACCAAAGAGCAGAACTGGCAACCACTGAGGCAGATAGACTATGGGTAGTGGACAGTGGAAAGCTATGCACTGCAATCTTGATTTTCATTTTCTCATATCCTTTCCTTCCACTTCCTTTCTTCTCTCTTAATCATCTTACCTCTTGGGTTAAGTCCCTGACCTCTTGCCTAGAGCAAGGAACTCTACCTCAGGCGTTACTCCCAGGACCATTCAAGCTGGCCTTGAGGCTGGAGGTTGGAGGGGGATGGTTGGGGCCTCCCCCAGCAAGAAGCCTCATGAGTTCTGTACCCCGAAGACTCACAAGTGTCATGGAAGAAGTCAGGTTTGACCTGCATGTGTTTCTCGTGGTTTGGCCCAAATGGAAGTAGAAGCCCTTTCCCTAGCCTCCATCACACAAGTGTCCCAGGCAGGCGTACCGTCATGGACGAGCAAGTGTGGCCGCAGGCCTCGCTCCTTCAGGATCTGGCAGGTGGCTGGTGCAGGGGCAGTCACCTCGTCTTCTGAGATGTCAAACCCCAGTCGCTGAAGCAACCCCACCAGCTCTGTCCGGGACTTCTGGGATTCATTGGTACAGAATCTCACCTTCAATGAGGACCGCTTCAGTCTGGAGCACAAAAACCAAATGAGAGTGAGCTCAGCACAGAGTGTGGCCTCCTGAGAACAGGCCAGAGAGGGACTTTTCCAAGGGCCACTGGTTAAGCAGCAGTGTAGGCCAAGCCACTGCAAGGCCCTGAGGTGGCCCAGACAGTCACAGATGTGTGCAGGATAGGATTTCACAGCTGGAAGAGACCACTTCTTGAAAAGCAGGATGCTGGCAGACCACACCCCCCCCAAACAGTCTCCCATGATGAGCATCCTCTGCTTGGAACACTTCACCCCACCCCACCAGGGACTTGTCGCCGTTATACCTGTGTCACCCTGTCTCCCCCCTCATCACCATCCACCTAGACGAGCTGCAAACCATCTTAGAATGCCCACAGCTGTTTCTCCACCTCATTCCCACAGCACTGCATTCCGCCTTGGTATTTGTTACTCCTCATGTCCACGAGTTACTAACTCTGGATCCACACTTCTCCAACAGGGTAAGGTTTATCTTCTCATTAACGTCAATAAACAGGGTCTGCCAGAAACAGGCATCAGAAACAGGGCAGTTCTGGGATACAGCAGTGGGGTCCCCACCCTGCATAAATCCAGAATCAAGATTCCATAAAGCTGAGATGCACTAAAACCCAATAGCACCGTGACCTATCCTTCAAAGCATCCTGGTGACACCTGCCTGAGTTCTTTGGATACAAAGCCACAAAAAGGATGCCTCAAGAGGCCCCCAGAAATGACATTCAATGTGTCTACAAAGAATCAGTGTGCACCTGGTAGAGGGCATGGCCCCGGATGTGACTGCAAGCTGGTGCTGGGACTGCAAGCTGGTGCTGGGGCTGTAGGAAGGGCCCTTCCTGGCCATAGTTCTCAGCCAGCATGAAGGCTGGCTCAGAGTGAACAGGAAGGATCACAGCAAGGCAATTTGCACCTGGGTGGAGAGGGACTGTGAAGGACACAAATGGGGTGAAGGGACAATGGCTATCAGGACAGAAGGTTGGAGAGGCCTGAGAAGCAACCTAGAGTTGAGACCTCAAGGAGAAAGCACTGGCCTAACCTTTACTGTGACTTCCCTTAGGCTGTCTCTGAGCCTGTGGCCCCTAATTGCCCAGGAAGCAGGTGGGTTTCAGGGACTGGCCAGCCCTGGGGCTACCAGGTGCCATTTATGAGGAAATCTATATATCTACAGCCATCAGTGCACAGACCACATCTTCCACGGCCTAGGTGGCTCATCCCTTTCTTATTATTTGTCTTTCCTAATCAGAGGTTTATGAATGACCAATTACACTCAGTGGTTAATTGCCCTTCATAAAGATGGCTTTTTTATTTTTAAATTAGGCAGTTAATATATTGTAACTAATAGCATCACCTTGTGTATTATGGATGGGTCTTCATTGATTGGTGCCTGGAATGTGTGATTCACACCCAAGTTAATGGAGCAGTTGAGTGAAGAAGCTCAGGGGTCTCGGGGGACTAATTACAGCTAATGAATGATGATGTGACCTTCTCAGAAGAGCGAGCAATTGTGTGACAGCGAGATGGCAGAGCCTCACATCTGTCACTCCCAACACAACTTCTGATGAGGGTGGCAGGGAGTAGTTCACTGTCTTCTTTGAGATACCAACATGAGTTTGTTGGAAACCAGTGCTTTCTATTTGCTAGCTTATCTGTCTGGAAACAATGCAGTTACAGCTGTGTATGCAGAGCCCTCCTCCCTGTGGGTCCTGTCCCTTTGTGTCACTGACCATGCCCTCTTTTGATGCATTATTGCCTCAGTCCCTGCTACCACCAGAGGCCAGCCCCATGAAGTACCTTTATTTAAAATCATTGGAAATAGTTATAGTAGTTGCTATTATTTTAATAAAATAGTAAAGTGTGGGCGGGAGGGATGGTTCAGTGGCTAAGAACACCTTCTGCTCTTGCAGAGAACCGGTTTGATTCCCAGCACCCACATGGCAGCTCACAACTGTATACACCAACTGTATGTAACTTAAGTTTCAGGGGATCGGGCAGCCTCTTCTGGCTTCTGTGGGCACTGCACACACATGGTGCACAGACACCCGGGAACATCAAATTAAGAATTAGTTTAAAACGTTTAAAGCTGATGAAGCACCAATACAGGTTTTCATGGAGCCTTGGCCCTGGAGAAGCACTGTCATTGTGCTGAGTGTCCATGGCCCAAACTTGTCTTCACACCCCCAGGGCAGGTCCTCTTCACAGGCAGCCCTCCTTATGTATGGCTAACTGAGTAAATGTATTCCCCATTCAGGACACAAGAAGGGAAATCTAGAAGAGGCCTGGCCTAGCTCATCCGGCCTGTGAGCACAAAAGCAAAGCCTACGGGGTTTGTGCTATCTACAAGGGTTGTGTGCAGGCCCTTGCACAGGAGGCAAATCCCCAGGACCTTCAAATATAAAACTATGCCCCAGGCAGAGCCCAGCAGTCCCAGCTCTGCTCTGGGGCACCCTACTCTTGGGAGGGGTGAGACATGTGTGGGCCTGTCCTGTGTGTGTACCTGGGTTGAAATTGAGATGGACAAGAAGCCACACACCAATGTAAAGACCTGGATGGTCTGAGTTATGGACTGAATTGTGCCTCACCAAATTCCTATACTTAGGCCCTAACTCCCAGTGTGTCTGGACTTGGAGACAAGGCCTATGTGCAGCAAATTATGATCAAGTAGCATCATAAGATAGAGGTCCTCCTATGATAGGACTGATGTCCTCAGAGACTCCACAGGCTGAGCATGGTGACATATACTTGTAACTCTAGCACTGAAGGCAGAAGCAGGATGATGGCTGCAAGTTTGAGATCACTGTCCACATGGCAAATTTCAGGCCTGCCTGAGATACCTAAGGAGACCCTATCCCCAAAACAAACGAAAAGAACCCTGAGAGGCCTAGTGTGTGCCACCTCCCTTCTCTTCCTTGCTCACCCATCTCTCTCAGTGCATACATAGCAAAGAGCTCATGTGAAATGGCTGTCACCAGAACCCAGCCATACCAGCACCTTGATCATGGACATCCAGTGCCTTCAGCACTGGGAGTAAGACATGCATGCAGTATAAGTCACAACGTGGTGGTGTTTATTACAGCGATCCAGGCAGAGGGAGCTGAGGGATCACATCTACATCTCTGTGAGTGCTGGTGCCATAGGCTACAGATCTGGCCTTGAGAGGCCTAGAACACAGGTTCCAGATCATGAGGAAAGCCAAGAAGGCACAGCTTCCAGAGAGCCGTAGAGTAGTTCCTGAAAAAGGACAGTGGCTGCTGGTCCACTCCAACACCCAAAAGCCTTGGAAAGATGCCTTCGGCTAGCCTAAAGATCCCACTGAGATTGTGGCCAGGGTCTTAACCACTGACCTCCCTCTCAAGGAACCCCACTACCTGTGACCCAGCTGGATTTTTGAACTGACCTTAACCTCATCCCAGCAGGCCAGGATGCTCCTCTGAGTGACAACATAGCCCTGTGCAATTACCATGCATCAGATGAGCTGGTCCCTTACAAATCACCTCGGACTTTACACATCTGCTGGCTGTCGGGCATCTGCCAGGAGCGCTCACCCGAAAATAATGAAAACCCTCTCATTACTGTTCCGTGGCAGGTAAAGTGTTAGGACAATTATTGGACATCCTGAGTGACCTTGGGATAGCTCAAAGCCTGCCCTCTCCAGCTTGCCAAGGGCTGGGAAGCTGGAGTGTCATGAGCTCCTCTCGGAGGGACCAGAAAGGGAGACTGGGCAGGCCCAGGAGCTTGCCATGAAAAGTACAGCCTGGGTCACTCCTGATGGGTCCCCTCATCTCCCTCAAGCACTGGCTTTTGTTGTCTTTATCTGCCCGATGGTCCTCTCGTTGTCTATGTCTTTACCTTCACCATCCCTTGGAGCTGAATCCTGTCCTTCCTCAAGTCAGGCCCACATGGTCCTCCCTCCAAAAGCTTGTTCACATAGAGAAGTCAGGGCCCCCAAAACCAAAAGATGTCATGGAGACTACAAGAAACTCTTGGGCAGGGTCATGGAGACCCAGTGACACAGGGCAATTAAAGGGTTTAAAGCATGGGTTTATATGCGAAATGTCCATGAAGTAGTCTTAAACTTAGGAAATGGTTCAAAGGCTCATTGGGGACCAAGATGGACAGGAAGTGACCAGCACATTCCTGAACAGAGGTGACTGGAAGCCATCTAGATTCCCACTCAAAATGAATCTGGCATGGTCCTCAAATTCAGCACCACTTATGCTTCCTGGGAGGGGCCTAAGTGACCCAAATTCCAAACTGCATCCAAGGCCCGCCTGGGACTGGAGAAACTCACGTGGCAGAGCTGGGAAGGCCTTTTCCTTCCCCTCATCTGTCTTCTACTGCTCTAACCAGTAGCCCTACTCAGACCTCAGCTAAGTGGGAAGGAGGGTCCTACATACCTACTGAAATGGAGAACAGACCAGCAAGATACAAGGTCTGTACCTCAGTTTCCTAGAGAAATGTATCACCCAGTCACTTTTCTGTTAGTGTGACAAAGTACCTGAGTAAAGCAACTCTGGCTCACAGTTCAAGAGCGCAGTCCATAATGGTGGGGAAGGCATGGTGGCACTGGCCAATGGTCACAATTGCCTTTACAGTCAGGAAACAGAGAGAGATAAATGCTGGTTAGCTTTCTCCTTTTCATTAGTTTGAGACCCCAGTCCACAGAATGGTGTCACCTACATGTAGGGCAGGGCTTCCCATCTCCATTACCCAGTTTAGAAAATCTTTCCCAGACATACCTTGTTGCCGAGGAATCTCTAGATTCTGCCCAGCTGCCATATAAAATCATCACAAGAGGGAATGATGTTAATAGTACCTTTGCAGTTGTTTGAAAATGAAATACAGGCAGCTCCCCAAGGTCCTCAGCAGCCAGGGTAATGGAATGGCTTTGGGTTTTGGTTTGGTTTGGTTTCTTGAGACAGAGTCCTTCTGCCTCAGCACGCTGAGTACTGGGATCACAGGCACACACTGCCATGCCTGCTCCTGGGATGC